GTTGGGGACCAGTTAGTAGGGTGCCGTGCAAAAGTCCGTTTGGACCCCGTTTGCACGTGCGCACGTGCAGAATGCCGCTCCCAGATCTCAGGAACGGCTGGACCGATTGCTTTCAAATTTGGCACACCGCTAGCGACCGGTTAGAAGGGTGCTTTGCACAAGCCCCGTTGGAAGTACCCTCTCGCCCTTCCGCACGTGCAGGGCTCACTATCTCGCTCGCTCGTTCTTCGCCCAAAAGGCGTTATACTGGTATATTCTGTCTCATCGAAAATCAGGCCCTGCAAGTCAATAGCCATTTCGTTATCGGCACCTTTCCGTCCGGTCCTACCCCACCAAGTCTTTGACGAAACGACTCATCAGTCATGTCCCGTCCTGTCATGCCGTCTTGTTATGCTGCCTTCGACATCCTAACATACCCCTGCTGTATCTGACACGACACATAGTTCATGTGCCGTGTCAAGCTCACCCTGGCGGGCACCTCGTTATCCATCGAACACCCTCGTCATTTGACCGTTTCGCTGTGACCTTTCCACTGACCACTGGTCGGCGGTCACGCTCGGCTGGGTCCGTCTGACCGGCACCGAGGCGGCACAGGTGCTGGAGTGAGCGAGCACCTGATCAGCAGCGCGCTGGGACTGGTGATGTCAGTTACAGATGGTTGGGGAACCGATATTGAGCCAAATAGGAATAAAATCGTAGACAAATACCGAATATAGAACTAGCTTCAGAATTTGGAGAGAAAATCCGACTTTTTACCATAATAGCATCTACTGCGCTTCCAAAAACCAACAAAATGCCCCTCCCCCAAAAATACCAAATACCAAGCTGGTATCGGTCTGGTATTGGTGCACTAACAAGTTAGTATCCGATTGGCATCTCTAGCTGCTACCCCGGCGGAGCGCCTCGCTACCAACTGGATGCCGCCTCAGTGCCCGCTACTTGACTGATGGTCCAAGTCGGCCCGCTATGGATCCCGCATTTTCTTAGAAGGAGGAGATTTAGGGTTGTCAGATGCGGTTTGCTTCATTGCCATTATTATCCGAGATTGAGGGTCATTTTTTGGTACCAGAAGTGCCTAAATTGTTCTAATTAGACAAACTGTGACGGTCTAGACTCGTCAAACATCTGCGCGTTTATTGATGGAACATGGTGCCTCATCTGTTGGAAAATAGACGCTTTGCAGTGCCAAACCTCGGTGTCCGTGTTATATCCAGTGGTCATATTGAATCCCATTCGAAGTAGTATGATACACATTTGCTCATTTATCTTGTCATCTATGGCTCATTATCTATAGAGCCCAGACAGACAGGAAATGTGGCTCTACTCGCGGCAGCGCTTCTCACATTTCAGTCTCGTTCGAAAGCAAGCTCGTTGGCCGTGTCGTCTCGCATTTCATCTCATGTTCTCTGTGTTCCCAGATCTGTGGCGACTGTACCGTCGTCTGACGCCTACCGTCTCCGTTTCCGTCTCTGTCTCTGCCTCCGTCTCTCTCGTCTCCGTCTCTCGTCTCTCAACTACCGCCATCGCACCGCGGTGCCTGCTACGGGCGAGCGACTTCAACGCCAGCGGACGCAGACGGTGGCTAACACCGGCACCCGTGACCAGACCAGACCAGTCGGTCTCACGCGGCCGGCGGCGCCGAACGGCGGACACAGCCTGTCTGGTGTGGCTGGACTCACTGTCTGGAAGTGTCAGTGTCTGAAGATACTTGAGAGCCTTTCGGGAGGCTTCGGACAAGACCTGTGACTGTCTGGAGATACCGAATTAAGCCTGTCCGGAAGCTCTGTACTCCGCTCGTCTGAAGAGGCCGGACATAGCTTGCCTGGACGTGCCAGACAGCTGGACACAGCCTGTCTGGAGAAGTCAGACATATCCTGTCTGTGGATAGCAGACAGTCGGATACAGCATTCCCGGAGAAGTCATACAGAAGACATAGCCTGCGGTAGCGTGTGTAATAGAGAGAAGACAGTCGTTGAGTGGGTGAACTGAAGTTCTAGTGTGAACTGTGAACTGTGAAGCTGAACTGGTTATTGGGTTTTGGTGAGTGTGCTCGCCGTGAAGGTGTCAAGTGAGTGTGCTAGATGAAGGGTGATATGACCTGAGAAAGTGAACGAACGCTGTGAATATCTTTGTGAATAGTGCACTACCAGGCGAGAGAACAGATATCCAAAGTGGTGGCAAAGACATGTGCAACCAGCTCCATGTCAACCGCGAACTGAACTAACGTGACAGCGACTTTGTGCGCCCGAGATACAGTGCTCGTGCCACTCTCGTGACATTAAAAGCGCCAGTGGAACAACTGTACCCACCTCAAGCCTCTACACACCATCAACCGGTCCACCATGGGTAACTCCCTGACCACCCCGGAGTACGAAAACCGCGCCTATTTCCTTCTCTGGCTGGCTCATCACTACTGGAACGATGTCGTCGGCCGATTCGGCCCCTCCGACCGCCAGCGAACGTTTGCTGAGAGGATGAGTGGCCGATTTGAGCCACCGCCCTGTCCTGGGTGCTGCTGTGAAGCCGATGGTATTTGCCTGGATCTTTGGGATGAAGAGTTGGAGGGTGGAGAGTCTTTCTGCTTCATTTGGTGAGTACCCCGGGACTGGGAGGGGTGGGGGATGGGGTGGTGTTGTGGTGATGGTTGGTGATTACTGATTGTGATGATGTTTGTGGTGATGGTGATGACGATGGTTATTATGGTGAAGACAGGAGAGCTGAAGCAAAGAGCATCCTTCCGTCTTATGTTGTATATGTAAAACTATATGGAGGCAAAGTTGACGGATGCCATCTTTGCGAGAGGTATATGGTTTTTTAATTAACAAAGTAATAGTATACGCTTCCATCATCCCTGTCATGTGAATGAGCACACATGACTGACACTATCTCCACTGCAGTTTCCAGCCGGGTGGCATAACGCAAAAACCCGTAAGTCCGAACGAATTGGCATAACCATGTTTTCATCTCCCGTTAGATGGCTGAAGTCCATTGATCACCTTTTCACTTACACGATTAAATCCCCTAATTAAATATCATTTCACACTCTTCGAGCACGCTCCGTCAGCATTCTAGTAAGAATATTTATGTCATGAACAGCCATGTTATTTCGTCTATCGAGCTGCCCTGTACTGAGTTCATTCGTGCATGTCGCGTGATCGGTAGACCGCGAACACTGTGGGAATTGTCCGCGCAGTCGAGTATGACAGGGGTCATGGTTTATCTTCGAAACTTGTTAAAATTGGAGAGCTTGTGAAATAACCGATAAACTTTCGAGCCAAGTCTGTTACGTGGTCAATTGTGACGTAAAAGGAACGGCTGAGTGCGCTCCTATTTGACGTTTTGCAAGCTTTAAAATGTTGAGAAATGCCCCCTCCTAATTATGCCTGGAATAGGGTCTTTCGGAGATGCTAATTGCTGGTAACTGAAAATGAGACTTAACTAGACTCCTGGGACCTGGGTAACCACTCTTTTGTATCCTAGAAAGAAACCGACACAAGATAATTTGACCTTATTTCAATTTTGTTCAATGGTGGACAGGTCTCATCCCATTGTGTAAGACTTCCCAAAAGCATCATGATCCAACGAAAAACAACTAAATGAGGATGACAGAATAGCAAAACAAGCCCCTCAGAGCCGTCAGGACTGCCAGGAGTGGCTTGGGCCTCAGCCTTAGCCAACACTATAGCCTGTCAGGCAGCCAAACTTCCTGGAGAGCCCGGCTTCCGAGCCATACAGGTGACGCCACAGTCGCCGGCTCCCACTGAATAAGCCTGAGATCTCTGTTATATCAGACCGAGTCAGGCTCAGGACGATCCTCCACGTTTGATGTAGCTTTTTGAACTGAGCCATGAATGAATGAATATGAAAGGCAAAAGACATGCATTAAAGGGACTATCCCACCTTCTAAAATGTTGTTAAAACCAGTTAAATTGTGCCCGACTTTATAGATTGGATGACCAGGAACACGGTTCTGGCATTTATTTTTCATTAAACATCTTAGGCTTCCCATATTCCAAACACAAACTTTCAAATATGTGACGTCACAGCCCAAAATTACCTCCTTCCCCAGGCCACATTACTGTCATAAAGCTGATTCTTTTTACTCTGTAGGCACCACAACAAAGTTCAGACCAAGTTTTAAGCGATTTTTCAACGAACAAACCCATTTAAATCAGAATGACTAAACGAGGTGACGTCACACTAACGGTCGCTCCATGTTGAAGATAGGGCCTTGCACAAGGCCCATTTTTAAATGAAGGGAACGAATTTCTTCAACACCAAGAGGCCGCGGGGGTTGCAACCTAGATAGATAGTGGTTTCTGAACCTCGCCGCAAACTTGGCTATCTCAACTCAAACCCCATGTTAAAGGTGGGATAGTCCCTTTAATGTAGGTATATGAAGCGATGCGATCGGTCAAATTCATTGAAATGGAAGTGAATTTTCAATAGAAGGCGAATCTTATGAGCCTCACAAGTCACAGTCCATGCTTAGTCTCAGGTTTGTCCGAGTGACGATCAAGAGAGCGTTGTTCTCTGTAGCCGTCACGTTGGCTCCAGGCCACCGCCGTTCCCACGACCAAATATCGGTACTTCCGGGCACGTGACACGGCTCTGAAGTGCCGCTCACCACCGTGGGAAAATGGGCACCGGTGGGCAGATATTTTACCTTTTTCAGGCTACACGGAAGGAAACGCCCACAATGAACAGCTGAGTAGCTGTTTCGTGAGCCTTCAGGTTATTTGCGCTAGGAATGAGATGAGTTGAGGGTAATGAAATGTGCGGTTGCTTGCGTTGTGGTGAAACCTGAATGAGTCTGATGCCTTGAGTAATTTTTCTGATGCACTGTACACTGTTTCAAGCAAAAAAAGGTTAAGTCAAGAGTTGAAGAGTTATAGGTCCTTAAATAAAAGTACGCTCGTAAGTGTAATAGAACTTTTTTCGATTTCCTATAGCTTCCACCCGTGTCTCCATACACCCTTCGTGATGTCCGATGTGGAACATATTTCGGAGATCTCTTATATTGCGGCAAGGGCAACAGTCGACGAACAGTCAGAAGACCACATATTTGATGATACGTTTTCAATCGACAATCGACACGCTATCCGGCACCCAAACACAAGAATAACGGCTAACAACAAGATCATAAAGGCAAAACTTCCACAGCACTAATAACATGCTACACTGCAACAGTGTGAACAATATTATCAAGAGTTACAAGAGACGAAACCAATGGCAACTTCTAATTTGCTTTTGATCTCAAACGTAGTAGTGCTGACTCACCAAAGCGTCATATTCTAAGTACCTAAGCCTATTCTAAGTAACAGAACATGATTCAGCAAGTTAAGGCACTATTTGTACCAGACTAAGATTTCTTACATCTGTTTTCGCTGGAAACTTTATTGGCTCCAGTCTATTTTGTCATAAAAATATTATTACCAGGGTGGGATTCGAACCCCGCCCCGCCCGGGTTTCTAATCGATCGCCACCAGCTCCACATCAAACACCAGCGTCGCTCCGGGCGGAATGACGTCACCGGCACCGCGATCGCCATAGGCCAATCGGGGAGGGATTATCAGCTGGCGACGAGCCCCCGGGCACATGTTAAGCAGACCCTGATCCCAGCCGGCGATGACCTGACCTCGACCCAGGGTGAACTCGAGGGGTGTGCCCCGGTCCCGACTCGAGTCGAACTTGGTGCCGTCGGTCAGCGTGCCTGGAGAGGGGCAGATGAGAGGTCAGATCGGGTCTTATGTCAAAGGTAGTCTTGGGCGGACTGTTATGCGACTCTTTCGACAAACTCCATGATCTATCATGAGAAACTTCAAACTCCATGGCTTTGACTATACCTTGACCTCATGCGAGCATTCCAAGCTGACCTTTCCCCAACAAAGATATCTCACTCCATGCGTTTGACTATAACAAGCATGACGGTGCTAAAATCTTGACTCTGGCCATTTTTGGCGGAACAGGATTGTACTAGATTGTTGTACTAGAAATAGGATTTAACAAAGACAAGTGTGTTAAGCTGACTCAATTTGTCGTATTTCTTGTGACCGCTAACCTCTCAGTATCATTTATAAATTCGCCTCGCGTAGTGGATTTGACTCACCTGTGTAGTGCATTGAGACCTTGTTTCCGGCCTCGGTTTTCCTGCGGCAGCGGCGCGGTCCGGAAATGTGACGAACCTGCAGCTGATCACTGGGTGTCTGTAATGGAGGGAAGGAGTCAATTAGAGTCCATGTAATGGAAGGTGATACGGCAGCGGCGCGGTCCGGAGATGTGGCGCACCTGCAGCTGATCACTGGGAGTCTGTAATGGAGGGAAGGGGTCAATGGGGTTTGTAATGGAGGGAAAGGGTTAATGAGAGTCTGTAATGGAGGGAACGTATCAGTGGGAGGCCGTAATGTGAGGCAATGTCACTGAGAGTCTGTAATAGAGGGAAGTGTTTTAGTGTAATGGAGGGTATTGATAGTTCTGGAGGAGTCTGTAATAGAAAGATAGGGGCTGCTGGCGTACACTGTAAAAAATATTGACTAGCCCCTCGTCAAATGATTCTCAACGCTAAATGTCGGGGGTACAGACTAGTTTTGCATCCTACTTTTGACACACGCTGCGAGCCCCTGGCTTGTTTTGTGTTCGTCAGATGACAGTTACCAGGTGTCGGTTAGTTTTTACCACGTCCCAAAAATAGCTGGAGCGTTTCTGCCTTGTTTTGGAAGCAGGTCCTCGTTAATGCTGTGTATGATAACAAAGTACCTAGTAACAATAATAACGAAAAACAATGTCAAAACGAGGGCGGCTTGTTTAGTGACGATGCTCAAAAGAAGCATCGTCTTGTTCCTACTTAACGAATGAAGCTCAAACTAGGTCAAAACTAACGTATTGCTCAACCCATAGTCAGATGACCAGCAGATCCTACGCCGCCCAATCGAGTCATCGAATTTGCCAGTGAATTCGTTTGAAGACCATCATATTATTAAATATCGGTGGTCTTCAAACGAAATCCCTTACCAGTTTGATGACGAATTCATCCGGCCCATTCCAAAAACGCTCAAGATAAAATGAAAGTGTATTTCTGAAATAATGTGCTTTCTTGCAATGCACCTTTCGTATATCAAGCGAACCTTTCACTTCCAGCGCCCGTTTACAGTTATCAATCGAATCAGAAGCATGCACATACTCGTACCTATCGATAGATCTGAACCTAAGAACACAGAAGACATTTTGTAGAGTACCTGTCTGAGCCTATGCAGTGGAGCCCGTGAGCCGCCCAACCGCAGCTGCCTCATGAACTTGATGATAGGTATGAACCTCAGATTGCCCAGAGCTTGGCCGTCAATAACCAGCTTATTTATATCCACAGTTGTAGTGACTTAGGGTTTGGAATTTGCCAAACCTAAGTTTTGATTACCAAGAGAAGTTTTGTACTTCTTGCACTTGCCTTTTCTTCATAACTTTGGCGGAAATCGTCGTAGTGAAACTTCAGTGTTCCGTTAGCTGTCGGTTCTTGAGAGTTGGCCAGGCCGGACAACGGGGGCGGCTCCACAACTTTCGAAAAATTAAACCTAAGTCCTATTGCACTGCATGGAGAGCAATTCATTTAAAATCGCTCTTGTTCCCCTCTCCCCTCGACAACTTTGCAAACGTCTCTGCGCGATTTGGTTGAGAATAATGGCTTATGGCAAGTTACTGAATCAGAACGTCGATCACTGCAGGTCATATATCGGCAAGCAATTCTTCATAACTAGACACTGCACAAATGGAAACGATACAGGTTTGCCCAGTGATAAACACTCGCACTGCACAGACTCGCGCACCCCCGACCGAACGCGGCACGGCACAGCGTAACTGGCGCCGGGAAGCCGGGAACGCATTAAGTGAAGGATTCACAGGTGCGCAACTTTATTGCGAACAATAAAAACCTACCGCAAACGATTAAAAAAAAAGTTTTAGGGCAATCGGAAATACAAATGTATTGACTTATAGAAATAAAATTGTCATTCACCTTCCAAATAACCCAACAATTTATTTGCCGTAAAAAGTGTCTGGAAATGGAAAGTTGCAAACATGATTCAGCAAGTAGGGAAACGCAGCAGCTACCTGGCGAATAATCTCAGGCTGGTTTAGTGACGAGTGCATTGCTACGGCTTGTTCCTCACCCTTCACAGATTACTATGACAAAACTACTCCTAGTATTTTGATCATCCTGAGGCTGGCTTTCACCTAATAATTTGATGAGGGTCTTCCTCGTTTCGGATTGAGGCGAAAACAAACGTCAAACAACCTTGATAGTTAATTCAGCACTTAAAAACAAAGGTACACCTAGGGTATCATTACAATACCGGATCATAACGATCTGGATAGTTCTCAACCTGTAAGCTAACTAAGCGGTAACTAGTCAAGTGGTAGGTACCGGAAGCATTGACAACCTGGTGACTGTTTCGAGACCCTTGTTTTGACACATAGCTCGTCAATATTTTTTACAGTGTAGGTAATGGAGAGTCTTGTTTAATTGTGGTCTGTATTAGAGGATAGGGGTCACTCAGCATCTTATTCACGCTTTTCTAAATTATTGTAGAAGTTGATAAACAGTGATGCAACTGAATACGACAAAAACTGTTTGGTCTTTCAGTACGCTGTACGAGTTAGCGTCGTAAATTACATAACTAATTTTTTTATTGCGCTCAATTTCTACTAGCTAGGAAACAAGCACGCAATGATTTCCTTCTTTGGTATCTGAAACTAGACCAGGAAGGAAAACCTTGCAGTTACAGCTGGTCTAGTGACATTTCTTTGTATTATATAACCTCATCCTAATCAAATGCCGGAGCAAAAACTAGGTTTTTGAATCACTATTGCGCTCACGTCATACCAGACATCAGTCACATCATACCCGCGACATGAACTCGCCATCAGACTCACCGGTTGTGTTGTGGGCGGTCTCGCCCCCCGGGCTGGCGCCGGGGCTGGGGCGGGGGCGGGGGCGGCCGGGGCAGCTCCCACGCCGTTGATAGTGACCAGTTCGACGTCAAAGAGAAGCGTAGCTCCGGGCGGGATGACGCCCCCGGCACCGCGGTCGCCGTAGCCCAGCTCGGGAGGGATGGTGAGCTGGCGACGTTCACCGGGACACATCCCGATAAGACCGAGGTCCCAGCCGCGAATCACCTGAAACGGGGTCAGCAGAGGTCAACAGAGGGTCATTTGGGTCAATGGGGTGAGTTGGGTCACGAGGTGTCAGTTGGGTTGCGTGGGTCAGTGGCTCATAAGGGGTCAGTTGGTCACGTGGGGTCAGTTAGGTACGAGGGGTCGGTTGGCCACATTAGGGTCTGTTGGATTACAAGAGGTCAGTGGGTCACAATGGGTCGGTTGGGTCACATTAAGATCAGTTGGGTCACATAGTGGTCATCAGAGTCATTAGGGGATATAGTCACTCGTAAGCACACTGATACTTCTCACTTATTTCTTGAGGCAGGAGCAGTCGTGTCACGAGACACTATGCTGGGTAAGCAATGGTCATCTGAGAAGGTTAACTTTGGTATTGAAAGTAGCTATACTGCAATTTTTATTGTGTGAAATGAATAAAACAACTCATAACTGCTTCATTGCCCCCTCTCATCCCATTTACCTATAATAACTTTTGTCATGTTAACAATAATCAGCCTTTTGTTCAATCGTCAAACCATATTTTGACTTCTTTTGACCACTATCTGATGTCTGACTAGTGGTATGACCTAACACTTACCTTGCGTGCGCCAAGTTCGAACTCAAAGACCTCGTTTCTGTCCCGGCTCGAGTCAAACTTGGTGCCATCTGTGAGCGTTCCCGTGTAGTGCATTCCGAGCTTATCTCCGTTTTTGGACTTGACCGGACAGTTCTCCGGGCTAAATGTCCTCTTGATCTGTAACGGAAAAAGTGGAGGAAATTCGATCAAATTTGAGCGATTATTCTGGTCATAATCTCTTCCTAGTTATCTCCTTAGGCAGTATCACTTCCTCTTTCTTTGATCTCTTCTAAGAAGTACCGATTTTCCTTCAATTGTAAATGAGTTTTTAAGAATGTGAGGAATTACAAATATATTTTGATTTTAGGAATCTGATACAGCCTGTGTTTGAAATGCCTATACGCCTTCCAATGCAAAAGCAACAACAACAAAATTAAATTTAACAGTTTAATAAATGAATAATGCATTTGAGTCGCATGGCACTACCAACCTTGAGCTCAGGTTTGGGCTGAGGATTGATCTCGAGAAGTTCGACGTCAAAAAGCAGCGTGGCACCGGGCGGGATCGAACCCGCGCCGCGGTCTCCGTATCTGCCGACAAAGGTCACAGGTCACAACGCACATAAAAGCTCACAATGCAGGTCAAAGGTTACTGCGCCCAGCTGGAACGTAACAAGAAGTCGATGAACCCATGGGATCGACAGAAGTGATTAGGGGTGGATCGGCAAAAACTTTAGTGAGCTTTATGAAGGTATTTACTATTTTGCATTATATAACCGTATTACTTGTTTTTTACTGTTTATGATGCCAAACCTTGATTATCCTAAGTTGTAAGAGCCTTGATTAAGAATGAGAAGCCTAAGGGCCTGAGATTATGCTAACGAAAGAAACTTGAAGATAACGTCGATTCCAAATGCTTCCTCCCCCTCCCTCCCTCTCTCCCTCCCACCCCCTCTTCCTCCCCGTCCCTCTCCCCCTCTTTCTCTCTCCCTCTCTCTCTCTCTCCCTTCTTCTGCCTCTCTCCAGTTATCAAAAGATAGACCGGTCTCTGTGTCTTCCCTCTCTCACTAAATACGGACTAGGATGGCTGACCCGTTTCTCTAGTTCTTTATCCACTCTCTAAGGCGCTCCAAAAAGCGTGACCGATTAAAACATCACGGAAATGGGGTGTCGGCTCAGCACTGAGACGCCAGCATTGTTCGTAGAGGTTGGAGCCCTGCGTGACCTTTGTTGGTCTTTGTTATGTTGGCATAACCGTCTTACGGTAAATGTGTACGCCGCCCAGCTTGCTATACCAAAAGGAAATGATTGATGTAAGCCACATCAGTAGGACTCTGCATAACTGAAGACCATCTAACCAAAGTCATACCAGAGTCCGAAACTGCAACTGTGCATTCAGCAAGCCAAATTAATGAGCACAAAAACTCGGGGATGGCCTTGGTCAGGTCATCCCTTGTGCGTCATTCAGGCATCAACAGCGATGACCGAGTTGTGCAATGGCGGGGTTCTTCACTTTTCTTACAACATGACCATGAATGCGCCTGTTGCATTCTCTTTAATTGCTCGTCACGCAAGCGTCTCTCTCTCTCTCTCTCTCTCTCTCTCTCTCTCTCTCTCTCTCTCTCTCTCTCTCTCTCTCTCTCTCTCTCTCTCTCTCTCTCTCTCTCTCTCTCTCTCTCTCTCTCTCTCTCTCTCTCTCTCTCTCATCTCCCTCTTTCTCTCTTTCTATCTCCCTACCTCCCTTTATCTTTCTTCCTTTTTTAATCTTTCTCTCCCTACTTTCATGAGGAAAGAAACGACAAGACTAGGAGCAATATGGTCAGTTCTGAATAAAGTTCGATCCAGCCTCCCAAATTACACTTTTGAATTACAGAAAGTGATAATTGCAATAGATTATTGGTGCAGTCTGCAGCAAAACAGACTTGAAGCACAAATTTCAGCGCCAAAGAGCAGGAAACACATCAAATTGCCTGTAAATCATTTATACAGTTAATTTGTCAATCCAAGTCATCGTTTTACTCACCCGAGATGCGCCGGGATTGTCAGTTTCCTCTTCTCCCCCACACACATTCCCACCAGCCCCTGATCCCATCCTCTGATCACCTTCCCCGCTCCGAGCTCAAACTCAAACGGCCGCCTGCCGCGACTCGAATCAAACTGAGTCCCATCTTCCAGCGTGCCCGTATAATGCATGGAGAGCACATCTCCAGCACGCGCGCGACGCTCGCAGTTGGTGGGTCCGGAGATGGTTTGAACGTCTAGCCTCTGACGCTGTTGAGCGGCTGCTAGCTGCAGCGCTAGCAGCAGCAGTGGAACAGTGAACCGTGCGCGCGGGGCCATGGTCGGACGAGAAGTGACGGTCCCGGCGCGGCGGCGGCGGCGGCAGCGGCGGCGGCGCGGCGGCGGAGGTTAGGTGAGGTGATCGCTGACCCCAGGTAACGGTTGAACTGGTCTGGCCAGAGGCGGAGGCGGCGGCGGGACCACGGGAGGTCCGGCAGCAGACCACAGGAGGTCCAAACGCAGGTAGGTTGATCTCTCCGCGTGGGTAGAAGCTGAGGCTGTTCACAGTTAGCGGTGAAGATCAAAGGAGCTGAATCTAACATAACTACAATTGATTGTGAGGAATGCAGCGCCATTTTTGTTATTTGTTGAACTTCTCTCCAGATGAACAGTCGCTCCCCATGTTGCTGGGCTCGCCACTGAGATAAACCGGTCGTTGTTTGTCTCAAGCTTCACCGATGCAAGAATGCCTTTTTTCTCCTATTTGGCAGCACATCTGGCAGCAAAGGTTGATAGCGTTGACTGCAAATTCCTGTTTAACGACAGTGCATAGTCTGTCGAATATTAGCTTTACGTATCTCAAACCTGTCTGCCAAACAAACTGCTGCGCAAAATAAAAATACCGTGTTGTTAGAAAATGGCCTTTGTCTGTGCAGGAAATGGTCATTGTCTTCGTTGGCTTAAGTGGAGATTTTAGAATTTCTTGCGTGTTCAGTTCCAGCATTGCGTGAGCGTTTGTATGATAACAGCATTAAAAAGAGCAGAACTATTGCAAATATTTGAACGCGTTTTCGTAGCTTAGGTACATAAGCATATTACTATCATAAAACATTTTTGTCATCAAGTCATTTTTCTAAGTAAAACAAACTTCAAAGAATGTATACCAGAACGCATTGACCTCGATTACTGACTTATATATAAAAAAAATAACACACCTAACACATCTTTTTCATTGAGATTATCTTTTCATTTCCTTAGATTTATCAAATAACGAATAATGATGAATGAATCAAGCAACTTGATTGAAAACATAATGGAAGATATAGCTAACTTACCCAGCGAAAGTTTCTTTCTCGGTAGCTACGTACCTATGTACTGCTTTTTATAATACTTTAAAACGAATCTTAAAAATTTAAAGTAAAAGTAAAGGTCATTTCACCTTCCCCACGCCTTATTTTTACCAGATTAAAAATAATATTTTGTTTTGTGGATGTTTTTTTACCTATGTTTTTTATTCATTGATTTTAAATTATTATTTCTCTAAAATTGAATTTTAGAAAAAAAATTGAAAGAAAACTCGCATGCTTATTTTAACAATATTTCCATTTTTAGACTGAAACATTTGCCAAATTACGTAAATCACCGCTATCGTTGTTGATAAAATGCTCGCTATCATCAACAGCGATCAGGGCAATTTCACAAGATTGATGAAGTATTGACTTACGGCCATAAGTTGAGCCCTTTCGCCGAGTTTCGTTTGCAGACAAGTTTCGAGCTCAAAACGTGTCTGGTGAAGCGTAGATGCGCTCCGTACGCTCAAGCGAGTCCTGAGCGCTGAAGAAACTCATTGGGCATCCGTTCTGACAAACTTGGCTTATAGACTGAGGATATGCCTCACTGGACGGAAGTCCTGCGCATGGGTCCATTTGGCGCGGTGTTCCGCTCAAGGCTTCACTCGATAACTGTGACTGATTCAATGAACGTTTGAATAATGGGATGCACTAGAATGATGAAAATCACCAGAGATGGTTTGCCAATTATCAACTAGTTCAACACCCGCCCGATATCCTGACCTGATATCTCTATTATCGATTTTCGAGTAACGCTCGCTCCCCACTCTCAAGGAATTCCAGCTCCATCGCTTATGCTGCAGCCATATATATCTACGCCATATCTACGCAACCACCCCATGACATTTTCCTCTATCTCACTCTGTAATGCGCACTCGTGCACTTTCTCCCTGTCATTAGTGCACGGGCGAGGCCCTGGGAACTGCTGCACGCGCGATGCCCGGAGCCCCTCCCTCCAGCAGTGCCAGCGGTCGAAGACATGGACGAACGGTGTCCAGAGTTTCACTATCACCCGTGAGTTCTGATGGCATGATCTCTGCAGCTAGGATGGCAAACTTGGCACAGGTCTGAAGAGAAATGAGATCGTATCGTAGCGGGCGTTTGGCGAACTGCGGGATGGGTGCCGAGAGCGGTATAGACCGGACTTGGTTTAGAGAGTGGAATAATTGTGGCCACTCCATGCTGGTCGGACAGCTTGCGGCCTTGCGGGTGTAAACTGTAACGTTTATAAATGGCTTCAGAAGCTGAGCTTATGAGAAGATCACAGTTATGCATATCAAGTTTGGACGTAATTCAGAATGCGTATGAGCAATTGTTGGTGAAAAGGCTATTTATTACCTATTTAATGCCCAGATGCAAGGAGAAAAGGCTAATGACCCAGTCTCATAATGACATATTCACATATCTCAATTCTGTTCAACTGCACAGCAAACCGCACCCTGGGAACCTCATTATCGGTTATGTATGATGATTGACACTGGTGGAACCATCGCTCCAGGAAGCGAGCAGCCTTTCACATCCTCCGGAGCTGCTGACACCCGCCACAGGTCACGTGGTCAGCGGATGACACCCACCACAGGTCACGTGGTGGGTGATTGATACCGTTGGGTGTCATTAAATGGCTCTATTGTTGGCTCTATGCTGCGGCTGTTTTGCAGTGATTGACTCGCCGCATCGCACTTATACGTGTACAGACTTTCTTTTGCGCGAGCTCGTGTTTCTTAGCCGAAACCAATCTCCTAGTTAGCAATGCGCAAATGTAAGTCTGAGTCTGACCATCATTTGCCAGTGAAGACCGCTTGTCCGTGTCTGCTGAGTGGTGGGCACAAGCATTTGCTTTGATTTTATTTCATTTAAAATGCTTGGTTTTGATGTTTTTTTTTCTGCACTTTGAAAGCTTTTCCTACATCTTCACGACTTTCCGAATATTACGGCTTCTAGGTAATATGGTATCGGGCGCAACCGCACATTGCGCACAATCTCTCCCCCAAACATGTTATTCCGTGTTTCATTTTTTTGCGCTTTAATTTTCATCTGCTACATGGAGTTTTCCTATCTGTTCCCCCTCGCGTTATCCGTCATCGTCGGTCATCATTCTCCTCACTCATTGTGCGTTGCACCCCTCCTTAGCATCATATCCCACAGACCCACGTCAAGCCGAGGGCGGATCATATCGGGTCAGGGCGGGTCACACCCCTCCCATCAGCGTGAGAGACAGCGCCGGGTTGCGCCACCTCTCGCTGGGACCGCCCCAATGGCAGGTCACACCACTGCTGCCCCGGGTTGACCCCTGACCTCTGCGACCCCGGGTCAGCCCCAGTGACAATGGTGTGCCGCTGAGGCGGCTGCGGGCGGCAGTAGAGATGGCGTGCAGTGTTGGTTTCGACAGGGTGGAGTTGAGAGTGCCGTTGGGGAGGAGCGAGTGTGTGTGCGTGCGTGTGAGCAGTGCGTGAGGACAATCGACACACGGATGCTGGGAGAAAGGAAGGAGAAGAGGCGCTGTGGAGTCGGCAGTGGTGATGTGAAGTAGTGGCCCAAAGTGTGCTGAGGTTCGGTGGATGGTGAAGGTTTCTCGTGGTGTGACTGGTGAGGAAAGTTTCACGAGTTGTGACGGCTGGTGGTGTGCCTTGACTCGTGGTGCTGCTTTTCTTGAGAGTGACGAGCTGAGCTGATTTGTGAGGATTTCACGTGGTGCGGCCGGTGTAAGTACTGACCGATTTTGATTCCGGACTGATTCCGGTCTGAGAGGGGCATCTTTAGCCGTCGATACGGGACCCTAGTGTCGAAACCGTGCCCCCAGTGAGTGATTCAACAGATGTGATCTATGTGAGGTGAATATGACTATTTGAAGCATTCAGTGAGACCTGGACCGAACGGTCTAATTTGACCTCATCTGACCTCCGGTGACCTCGGCTGACCCAATGGCCGAGCTGCTGCGAAAGTTGCGCCGCTGGGGCAGCCGTTCAGAGCTGACCCAGCAGCCTCCCAGCTCCGAGTCGTCTGATGACTGCTGCTGCGGACTGGACCCGGAGACCTTCTGCTGCGCGGCCTGCTGTGAACAGGAGGTGCTGCTTTATCCTGGTACTGAGACACCGGAGCCGCCACTGGCGTACTGTCTGATACCGCCGGCGATACTACGGGAGACGTGAGTACCTGATTGGGGTAGAGGGGAATGGAGTCGAGTCAGGTTGAGTCGATTCGAGTCTAATCGAGTCAGTCTGATTCGGGCTGATTCGAATAGAAAGGAAAAGATTTTAGGAGATTAGAATAGAGTGTGGCAGAGTATAGTGAAGTAGAGAGAGAGTAAGAGTAGAGTCGAGTCAAGTCGAGTCCAGTCGAGTAGAGTATATTGTGTTCACGAGACCGGCTGCGTTGGAGTCTCAGCGTTCTCGGCTGCCTGCAGGTGGCCGCAGCTCCGGTCGCTAGATGGCAGCACGGGGCCCGCTGCCCATTGCTTACCACGTGCTGCCACCTGACGACAGTTCTTGAAACTATGGTTGGTTGTGGTTTATGGCAGCTCAGCTATGTGTCTTGTCCACTAGGTGTCGGGAGGAGCACTATACTATCAGGGACTATTCCCCAGACCCTGGCTGGGATGAGTTCCTTCGTGAATTTCCGTTTCTGCCCAGAGCGTCGTGGCGCTGGCGGATCCACGGGGGCATTAGGGGCAAATGCTTTCCACGCAGCGCTCGATATCGATGCAAATTTGCCGCTATTTTTTTTTCAAGAAAGAAAACACTGAACTATTATTAGGAAAAGTCTGCTTTATTGCACAGCAGTGTGTGAGGAGCAGGAATTCATTTTTTTTTTTGGAAAATGGAGAAACGTTTTTGGGGGCGTCTCAGACCTCCTTCCTGGATCCACTTGTACGTGGTGGAGGAGCCTGCGAGTGCACAGCAGCCCAATACCTACGTCCTACATATATCACTCGACCCCCACTGATGTCTATTGCCTATACCCCATGATACCTATCATGACCCCCTGAAATGGCATCGAAAGACAAAAAAAAAGCTCGAAGTCCTTGGCGCCGCTACAAAAGAACGAATAATGTTTAGCATGAGTTGAGACTTGGAAGTTCGGTACATGTTCCCTTTTTAATCTCGTCTTTTTGACAGCGGATATCAGCTGCGTCGTCAGGAAGGTGAATACGCTGATTAAAAACGCATGGGAAAACGACCACAGGTAGCTACGAACAACACGTCTAAATCGGCAAACACTTTTCTGCTCACACGTCCATTCGCAGCACCAAACAACTGTGACAATACAGCTTATCATGATAGACATGATAAACAAACACATTATCAGTACTTACAGATCGTAAGCGCCGTAAAACATTACTTCCCCGAGTGTTGGAAGTTGGGACGGATACGCTCTACTCGTGACAAATTTCCTGCACCACAAGCTGTGAAGAAAAAGATTATAACTGACGAAATTCCACAGTGTCAGATCGGCACTTTGATATAACGGTGTCTAAAAAGTTTCTTGTTACCGGGCTACAAGCATGTCTGTTCAAAGTGAAAACGGAAACCGCAAAGACAGCGAGTCTGTTCAGACCGTTGTTCACTTTCTCTGTGCATTTTGCACACGATCGGCGCTTTGCACACTGTCATAGCGGCATGAGTCGTGTCGAAACAATCGAAACCAACCAGTGGTATTGTGAAACGAA